GCATTGATCTGGTGTCCGAACACGAAACTTTTTTTCTAGGTTGAAGTTATCAGTGCGGAAAGCCAGGATTTTTGGTCGGTTTTTCTTCCATCATGAATATTTTTTTGTATATTTGCAGTATTATGTAAATGTGTAACTGTAGTGTTTATCAAGGTTATTAATCTTTGCTTGTGTAAATCTGGCTGTCAGTTAGTGTCGAGTGCGGGGTTTATAACAGCTTAAATTTCCTGTAGAATTTCGTTCAAATTAAGCAAAAATCTAAAATGAAAATCTATGCTATCAGGAGGTTCGAGTGTCTTAAGTTTCTCGTTTGTGTCAGTCAGTCTGTCTGTCCGTTGGTGTCTCCAAAACCGAGTACTTCGAGATTTTAAGTTATTTTAAAATCGCTATGAATTATATTTAAAATATGAGCCACATTTTTAATAATTTGTCCGTGAAATACATACTACCTAGTTAGGAAGACAAATTTATTTAAAATTAAATAACTGTTTAATAACAATGCATGCACGTGGAATAAATTAGAAGTTATGAATAAAAATGGAATTTAAATGTTCTGTCATTGTTTACAGTTTTGTATCTTATCTAATAATGTTTATGAAAAAATTTACCACGCGATCTTTTGTACAGGTTTAAAGCAACAAATGCATCTGCGTTAAAAAAACTTTAGAATATAACATACTCGGAACGAGTTTAAATAGTAGCTATTATTTAAAAATCACTAGCCACTCACTTTCGGAGTTTACTTTAGTTTACTTTCCGAGTAACTTGGCATTTTTACCACTTCTATTTTATTTGTAGTTTAGGAACCTATGTCTTGCAAAACGAAGGAATAATAAATTATTTTTTTCATGAAAGTTACAAATTCAGCAGCTTGGGAACTGATTATGACAAAGCAAAAGTGATTGTAAACCTGAGGTCATGTCAATAACTGCTAATATCTTCTCAGATCAATTCTCAGATATAAAAAATATTAGTCGTGGCGTCCCTCAGGGATCAGTACTTATCTTATTTCTGGTAAGTGTTAACGATCTTCCAAACTGCCATAACTCAATTTGTTACTGGTTGCAGACGCCACACGTCTTTTTTATAGGTCGTAATCTTGTTAATTTGAATAACCAAGCAACGAATTTCTACATTACTATGAAAGATAGGTTTGCTACCAATGAGGTGTTAATTAGTGAAGATGTTAGTAACTCAACCAACATGAATGAATAACCATTAGTTAGTTTATAGTTAAAAAAAATAATAAGACAGACGAAATTATTATTTTTTATTGCTTTAATAATTATAAAATTTCTCAATTTTTTTTCTAGTGATAACCCAGAGACACTGGGATTCAATTACTGAAGTGTGATAAAAAGATCAGCTGTGCTTTTCGTGCAGTCGCCAGACAATTTTATCATCTGTGTACTTTTCCCCCACATAAAACGAGTAGAATTAGGATCACCGGTCTTAACAAGAACGTGTCAATTTTATTACGAATCTCTATAAAAAATTACGGTTACACATTGTTGAATACGCCATAAAATTATATCTTCAGTAGCTATTTAATTGTGGTACGAGTTTCAGACCGCACCGGTTTAAACCACAACTTATTTTTATTGCAACAGATAACAGCTACAAATAATACATCACACTTTTGAAATTGTGGATGTGATTTATTTACTATATTTTACGCTTTTTTGGTTTTATTGCCGATGATGAAAGCGTGTGTAAAGTTAATCACAATGTAAGCGTTTAAAATATTAGGAAAAACAATAAAATCTGATAGTGTCATTTTATGGTTCACTTCCTGGTTCGCTAAAATGGAAGTGGAAAACCGTTATTCTGTGACGTTTTGTATTTTTTTTTAATCCGTTCGTCATTTAAAGTTCTTCGAAAGTTGAGTATAACGTGACTGACGAGGGTCAGGTAAACAGGAGTTATTGAAATAGGGTTTATCCCAGTTCAAACAGAGGAAACAGTATTCGGAAAACTGTAGTAATAAATTTAATACGTCTATAATCTGCAAATATTGAAATATATGAATGACGATGAGACGATAAAAATCGCTATTTGTAGACCAAACTGCAATGAAATCGGTCTTTCTAAAAATTGTTTATAATCTACAAATTCACCTAGAGATTTCTATATAGAAGATTTTTTTACGTACGCTCTCCAGAAAAGTATAGATTTAAAGTTAATATCGCCCTACTTATTAAACATTGATTATATAGTTTTTCGAAAAAGCGAAAGAAAACAATATGTCAGACATTAAATTTGCTGTAATAAATTTCGTGTCTTGGTACTAAATATAATCATAATTTACAACTGCTTGCACTTTTTTGGCAACAGTGCATAAACCAACACTTTGAAAATAAATAGGAACCAAAAGTTTTCTTTTCCAAGGTCATTTGAAAGTTAGAAGTAATATTTTCCAGGATTCAGCTATATACGCGAAAACAATATTCACCAGAACATGAGAACTGATACATTGTCCTTTTTTTGAAACTTGAGACCATTTAAGTCATACCTGAGTGTTTGATAGCCAGAACACCCATAACTCGCGGCTATTTAGTTTTTCGGCCGAAACTGACAGAGAAAAATAATTTCCACTTAAAACTCCAACGTTTCTCAATAGTTGCGTCCCCATCGAAATTACACTTTGGAATATTCTGACCACAAGGGCTAAAATTACAGCTGTTAAAAATGTTAATTGAAAAATATCCGAAATTCGAGCCACTTTTAAGTGCATTTTTAGTGTACAAAGTGGATTTCTAGTTCAAATTTGACAATTTAATCGGCACTTAAAAGTTAGAAAAATGGTAATTTCAAAAATAAAATAATCGTTTTTCTAATATCGAAAATGGTACCTATTTATTATTATTATCAAGGAATTTGCAGCTTATTTCACACAAGATTAATACTCGTTTTCGATCAAAATTTTTACATTATAGAATAAATGTTTTTTTATTTTCCATGTACGCTGAACTTGATACACACGTACGCTGAAAGCTAAGCAACAATTACGGAATAGAGTAAAACATTTTCTCTTAATTACACATCTTTCTTTGTGCTTTCACCGACCTTCCTTTTTTAAACTGAGTTCGAAAAGAGGGCTTCATTCGTTTTCAAAATTTGGTTATAACAAAGGTAGACAACTATAAAAACATCTCGAATAACACTAATCAAACGCAATTTTCTCTACTTAAAGGCGTGCTTCTGTGAAATGGATGGTTATCCTGTTGGTTAACAGTAAAATAACAGGTTGGAACTATTACAAAGAAAACAAACTACTGCTTTATGTTCCACTGTTTCTCAAAATTGTTTAATAAGTTTGAAGGAGGAAGGATCAAAATATGTTTGTATAGTTTTATTTTGCTAATAGCAGTGATATAAATTTGTCAAAATATTGTTCAAAATTTAATATTATTTTAAAAAGTGGTTTCCCGATTTAATTTTTTTTCTATGGTCACACACGATTGACTGTTATTGATTTTAGGCCATAGCTAGTTCATGTCCACAAAATATCAAAATTAACATGCGATTAAAGTTTGGCTAAAGAGATTGTGCAGTTATGGCTTAATTGCTGCTTGCTTGCGGTAATTTTTACGAGTCTGTCACAATGAGGGCAGTAATCCGCTGGCCTGGCTAGGGACCGTCTCCTATTGTAAGAATAACAAATAAAAATTATTTCAATACGGCACGTGGCCTACTTAACTGTACAACGTGCAATTGCTTGTATTTATTGCATTTTATGAGAGATCTACTATAAACTGTCACAGTCATATATCCTTAGACTCAGCAGGAACATTTTTGATAAAAGATCATCTCTTACAACCTGTACAAGCATAAGCGTACTCTAAAGGCGGTACTCTCACCTGAATTTTATGGTTTTATTGACCTTGAACTCTTTAAACTGTTGTGTAGTTACGCGACAAAATTTAAGTAGTTTGGTGTGTAAGTTGCATAGCTGAAGTGTCGTTTTAGATTTTCGTCAGTTTTGTGTGAATGACGTTTCTGGTGTAAGTTATGACTCTTTTACAGCTTCTGTGTTCTTTTACCCCATCCTAGTGTACAAGTATTGACACTGACTCATATTTTTAACAGTTTATATAAATTTACCACTTTGATAACTTCATCACTTGGTTTTAAACTTAAAAAAATATGTTATGATTTTTAAATAGAATAAAATTCGTCGTGGCAGACACAATGATAATTTAATAGGTATAACTTCATTTCAAAAATTATTTAGGTACATCAACTTAGAATTGCTTCTGTCTGAACATAGTGCTTTTACTAAGACAATTGTGTTTTAGGTACTAGCACATAAGAAAGGCATGAAAATGGTGGCACCTTTGTCCACAGGAACTGTTTCGTCAATTCTGTACAACAAAATATCAGTCATCATTATTGGTTGTCTTATTTCTAACTTTAATATACATATACTGTCATCATTCGCCTCATAAACTTAAGCCTTTTGACACCACCAAAGGGAACTATTTTTGTAAACGTGAAAATGAATTTTCTTGTAAAAGAGATTGATATCTAAAAAATAGTACGTACGTTTGGCCGCTCTAAGCATTAATAAATTGTCTTTTTCTTTCTGAGGGAGGAAATAAAGTGCATTTTCCTAAAAAACAGGAATATTGATTTAGACTGCATCTTTTCCGTTCGTATCTATCCTCCTAAGCACTTCAAAAGCAGATAGATATTTCAAAATAAGTTTGACCAGATTAATTAATCCAAAAGCTGAGTTTGATTTATTTTCCCCTGTTTGAGCGTTTAGCTACACTTGTGGCCACAATTGTTACAGAAACTAACAAACAGGAAAAAACAGATTAATCGCCAAAAAAATTCCCTGAAAGGCTAAGTCATTCTTCCCTAGTCATGTACATACAGTTAAACATATTCTCTAAGTTGATTCAAACTTAGCGAAAATGTCACTCTACAATGTATCTCAAGTAGAAAGCACGAATTTCCAAGCACACTCTTCCCACCACCCTCACCAAACCACTTACGTCGGCGGATTAACAATATTGAAGAGTTCAACCGGCGAAGTGGGTACCCTCCTCACGATCATCTTCTTCCCATCCGTGGACCCCATCCCCACCGACGCCCACGACCTCACAGACGCCGCGTCCGAAAACGGTTTGGTGGACATGTGACTTCCCGTGTCGCTCCCGTATCCATATCCCATCTTCAGCGACCTGGTGCTGTTCTCCCTGCGGAAACTCGCCGGAGAGGGCGTCCGCTGGATTTCTTCGATATCACAGTGTTTGTTCTCTTCGTCATTCTTCAAGGCTGTGAGGCGTTTCGGCACCACGTACTGCTCCATCCGCAGGGGTTTCTTCAACTGACTGGACGCTTGTTTGGGATCCATTATTGGAAAATTGTCCAATTTGAGCCCACACTGTAGTTAAAATTGCACTTCATTGTTGCGTGTCGGGGAAAAATTCGAACGCGTTGATGTGCAGCGGTGTCGCCGTGGAACTGAGAGTGCGAGAGCGTTTGCGAGATTTTCATTCTCGGTCCCACTCTCGATTGCCGCGGTGGGTTATTAATAATAATTGCGGGTTTTCGCGAAATTTTGAGCTGGGGTTGGATTCGGGGAGGCGGTTAGGCAAGGTGCTGGAGAGGGGAATCCATGTTGTGGGACGGACTTCCAGTTTCCGTACGCGAATCGTTTTTGGAAAATTTATTGTTTGTTGTTGGTTGTTGGTGATTGTACGTTATGCAACCAGAAATATATGATACTTTTAATGGCGGACCGATTTTGTTGTTATCCTTGGAACTTGAATGTCAACATTTAAATTATTTTATTTAATTAAATGAAATATGTATTTGAAAACAAACTGGTGATTTGGAAGGAAAGCAATTACATGTAATGCATTATTACTTATAATTATTTTCTGCAAATTAGGTACTTTTGCGCCCTATTCAAATGACATAACTTATTCTTATTAGTGTCTTTTAAGCCAGCAATGCTGGAACAACGTCTATGGTAACGATCTTGGTCAGTTATTAAAAATTAAAAAAAAATGCTGAAATTTAAATCATTCATTAAAATTTATAAGCAGAAAAGTCATTAACAAAATTAATTTCACTATAAACTTCTTTGGTTAAAAGACAATTCTATTTAAATTAGATACTTGCAATAGGTATGTTACACCTAGTTTTGACATAAAATGACAATTAAATACCTACAATAACTAATCAAATTTCAGGGTTGGGGTTTTGTAGCTTCATAATTTAATCTTCAAAAGAGCTCATGGGTTAAAATTAAAAACCCAAAAAAGAAGTAGAGTGATATCGACAGTCGGTAAGTTTTTTGATGAAATTCTGCGCTTATATTAAATCTGGCCTTCCATGGGAAGCTACTGCTTTTAGGTAAAAAATCTCAATATTTTTTTTGTTTTCTTGTAGTTGTGTTCGGAATTCTGTTTATTTCTTTCGAATGAGATGGCGCATTTCCATAACAACCATCAGGTTTGACTACAGTGTACAATTAACGGTTTTTCAAACCATTATTTGTTACGTCTTCGTTTCGGTTTTAGTCGTATTAATGCGTCACAACTTGGTCATTTTTATTCCCGGTATGGAAAATAATCACTGCCGGTAGTCACGTAATGACTGCGTTTTTGAAACATATTTGGTTAAATTGTCACTTAATCCTTTTGTTTTCACATCAAGGGGTGACCACGGTTCGGCCTGATATATACTGGAGTGTCTCATTGTGGTGTCCCGATTTGAGAAATTTAGTTTTTTAGTAACGTTGGCAATGTAATGCGCGTTAGGGAAACTGGCAGAAAGCCACCCTTGGCTTGGTAGTTCACGAGTTTGGAATGTTGTGCAGGTAGATTTTAAAGGGCCTCTTGGTTCTTATTTCGATGGTTAAAATTGGTAAGTCGAGTTTTGTATGTAATTTCACAAAAGGGCAATTGTTTAAACAAAAATGAATCGCATTCGCTCAATTCCAAATTTACAAATGGACAATTTCTTGTTTCTTTACTTGTAATTATACTACTCATTGCGCTATCGTCAAAATTCAGAAGAGTGACGGGTCTACACCCAAACATGGAGTTTATTTCTCATCGTCATTGTTTATGTGAATGTTTATCTGCCAGTGGCGTCCGGTGGGTCAAAATTTCGGGTCGGCCAAATATTTTGAGTCTACACCTTGGTGTTATACATTTTCGTAATGTATGGCTGCTACTCATTAACCACTGACATTTTACGTGCCAGGATGTACAAAACATCTCAAATGTTTCGACCTGTTAAAATAATTTTTTATAGGAAATTGACAATGTCAGTTTGATTCCAAATATTATTAATCCTTAATTCTACTTGTTCTGCTTTATCATTAATTGAGAACCACCGAAAACATTATTTTTACTGAGTTCCGCGTCGACCGGCGGCTATACGGCTTGCCGACCCCGGACATCCACAATTAAATAATAATAATTAAATAATGACATGCAGTTAAAAAATATAAAAAAAGTAATAATAAAAGTACCAACTGTTAACTATCTTCATTTACATTTATTTTTTTTTAATGTATATGTTAAGTTTGATGGATGATGAATAAGAGCAGCGGACATTCGTTTTATAGTTTTATTAAACAAGTAACAAGTGTGTTCTAGAGCGAGTATGATATTATGACCGTTAGGTCCAGAGATTGAATATAAAGACTATGTTAACCGCTTGAAGAGTGCTTGAAGAGTGAATGATGAAAATAGTGAATGAATGTTCCCTGTATTCGAAGGTGGTGGTGGCCCTGGCTCCCACCCTTACGGGTGGAGAGGGGTGAAACAGGTCCCCGCCAGAGGCACTAACATACCCCCCGCCTTGAAACAATTACATTGTTTTAATACCAAAATAATAGAATATTAGAATGATAACATGATATCGTGATGATCAATTCGAATGAGAATACATGAATAAGATTTACTACAATTAACATTGTATAGAATGGATTCACAGTGATTATACCATATGGGCAATAAACGAAGAATAGCGATTTACAACACTTGCCCACATACAATAAGAATGTACATGGAATACACCTGAAAGAGAGATTTACAACTCTTTATCAGGTACAATACGAGTGGACAAACTTTATTTACAATAGTGTGTATGTAATGAGTTAACAAATAACCAGAGCCCGAATTAGTAAATGGAAATACCGTTTCCGAATTGGCGCACTTTATGATGCAATTTCGACACTGCACAGACACTACGCGAACAAGATCGTCTTTGCCGCGATGCACTTGCACTATTCGTTGTAATCGCCACCGCAACGGGAGCCGGTTGTCTGCTTTGATCGGTAGTACCAGCGCTCCAGTGCCGGGAACGTTTCTTGAGAGGGTTTGCCACCTGGATCTCCCCTGCAGCGTCGTATGATATTCCGCGGACCAGCGCTTCCAAAAATGTTGGCGGCAGGATTCACTCAATTGCCAACGGGAAAGCATGTTGACAGGAATAGTAGTGTATTCCTTTTCTACTGGAGTTGTCAATGGATGGCCAACAAGACAATGGCCCGGAGTCAGTGCGGTTGAATTAGTGACGTCGCTGGAAAGCGGCGTCACAGGGTGCGAATTCAGGACAGCTTCAATCCTGACCAAAAGCGCACGCATCACCTCGTACGTTAGATGGTTGTATCGGATAACGCTCTGGATGTGAGTTTTTACGAATTTAATCCACGCCACCCACAAACCACCAAAATTGGGCCCACGCGGGAGAATTAAACTCCATTTGATATTTTCTGGTTTTAGCTTATGTTGTTTGTCAGTTATTAAACGATTACTATTGGATGTAGCCTGAGCGCATTCTTGTATATCAGGACAATTAGACGACCACTTGGAACTTGCCTTCGCTAGAACGGTCTTTAACTCGTCTTTGGGCTCGATTAATTTGACTATAGAATTTGAAACGAACAATGCCTTATCGACATAAAAACAATGATTGTGTTCAGGAGATTCTAGCCACATGATTTTTTGATAATTGCGGGCGTCAGAGTGAAGCCAACCGCACCGGTATATTTTCGATATGTCACATGTGAGGACATGAATTAAAGTAGTTAAAAGTTCGGGTTGAAAAACGGGGCCGGTTAATAAGTTGTCATTTAGGCTTAAATTGTTTGAGCTAAGATTTGAACGGTCAACAACCTCGCAGAGTTTAATGGAAGAAATGTAGGGGTTGTAAAGACAATTGTGTGGCAGGTAACTAGGATTATTTAAAGAATTTCCGTTAAGTACCTTCAGGTGTACAAGGTCTAGGTACTTCCTTAGAAAGATAATAAAACCCTCGGTAAGTTTATGATTACGACCCTCTGCGAACAATAACGGTTGGAGAACCCCTTCTTGGGAATTTCTTAATTGAGGTGGATTTTTGAAATAAGGGACTGTGGAACGACCCAACTTTTCCGAAAAGAGTAGTTTAATTACGAAACGACCATCGGGTGAATGGCCGGTGGTATTCTGCAAAGGGGTTGCAAAAACAGGGGTTTTAAGACCTTTGCTTAATAACCTGCTTCCGGTTTTGACAGTCTCAACTTCAAACAAATGAGAAATAATTTTATTAAAACTAATATTGCGATGACTGGAATTTCTTAAATGCCCAAAACTGCCGTTAAGAATCAACCCCAGCGCGGTATTTTGATGCGCCGGTGGATTTTTAATAAAATGATTTTGTATTTTAAGTTCGGCATTTTCTGAATGTTTTTTCTTATCGAGTATTGCTACGATTGACGTGTCGATGCTATGAATATGTAATTCCAACGCCTTGCCCAAATTTTCGGTGATGAATTGAGATTGACTCCCGATGTCCAAGAAAACGCGACATTCTTTTACTTTACCTGATTGGCCCATTACGCGAATCAAACCGGTGGATAAAAGTACACTAGACGGAATAGCTAAATTACATTTCGAGGTGTCTTCAGGATTATCGGAATCCTCATCTGGTTTATTTTTGATTTCATTCTTGGGAAGGTTATTGTTTGTTTCTGTGTGCAAAAGCGTGTGGTGCTTCTTATGACATTGTTTACAACGCCTAGATATGTAACAATTTTTCGCGACGTGATTACTTCTTAAACAATTGAAGCAACGATTCATTTTCTTTATTTGTTCCACTCTATCGTTGGGCGTTAAACTTGAAAAATTTGTACAATTGAATATGTTGTGCATTTGGGAACATATAAAACACGGGATTGATTGATTATTGCTTACTTGTACCTTGTTTGTGTTTGATCTTAATGATTTACCCAAATATTTGGTTTTGGATTCACATTGTTTACCGGTATCCAATAATGAGCTACAATCTTTCAAATTATCTGTATGATTTTTTATTGGAACTAACGCGGTGTCTGATTTTGGATTGGATGTGCTATCTATTTTAGTTTGGGACATGCCCACAGAGTTGCAAGAATTATTATCAGCCTGATTCTTCGGTTTACTGTATATTGAATTTGATAATAATTTGTGAGAATTCGGTATTAACTTATGCGTTTCTGAAATAATGACTTTTTTGTTATCGATAGTTTTATACTTAATGAATAGTGCAGGGGTAAACCGCACCTTAACCGGAGCATTGGTAGTCTTATGAAGTTTAATGGGTTCTCCATTTAGCATGTTGTCCACTTTTATGGGTTTTAGATTTTCACAACGTTTTTCGAGATGAGCATTGTTAGTATTTACATTAAACGAATTCGGGAAAGGAAGAGGATACAACAAATCGGCTTTTTTGATTAGAGCAGTATACAATTCCGATATTTCATCGATATAACTTTGCACGGGTCCGAGATTATAAACTGCGGGTTTGTTAGATTCTTTGCTACTCGTGTCATCTAAAAATACCACGATTTCTGATTTATGTTCAACTATAAGATTTTGTACGTTAGATTGTACCCGTTTCAAATCTTCCAACCTGCATCTTAACTCGCCTATTTTTTGGTGGTTTGTAACTTCCGAGATGAACTCCGCATGTGAATGTATATCGTTAACAAGAACGATAAATTTCCAGAGAGATTCGTTATTCGACATCGTCAGTTCGAGAATGATGAACTACGCAAAATGGACAAAACTAAAGCCTACCTGAGTTTCTTGATGAATGACTCTCGATGATTTGCACTGCACTCGCGGCCGTTACCGATTTTTGAATACTTGATGATTTAGGTGGAATGTTGAATTCCAAGCGATGATGATTTATCGAACTACACTTATCACTTATCACTGTTACTGATTTTCTGTCGCTGATCCGGCTCGAAGGACCATGTTAAGTTTGATGGATGATGAATAAGAGCAGCGGACATTCGTTTTATAGTTTTATTAAACAAGTAACAAGTGTGTTCTAGAGCGAGTATGATATTATGACCGTTAGGTCCAGAGATTGAATATAAAGACTATGTTAACCGCTTGAAGAGTGCTTGAAGAGTGAATGATGAAAATAGTGAATGAATGTTCCCTGTATTCGAAGGTGGTGGTGGCCCTGGCTCCCACCCTTACGGGTGGAGAGGGGTGAAACAGGTCCCCGCCAGAGGCACTAACAGTATATGACAAATTGTCAAATAAATTAATTGAATAATTGAAAAATTAAAATGATTTAAAACTTTAAATTCGTTTCTGAAATATCTGAAAACGCTTAGATGCTAAAAATACAGAAAAAGCGCATTTATGTTGTAGCTAAGTTATGTACGAAAAATAAAATTTTAGATAATTTAATGTAATTTTTTTCGTTTATTATTCATACACAGAAAAATGTATTAAATCGACAATTATTATTAAAAAAAAAATAGTATGCACTGAAGAACATCGAAGCCGTTATTGTTTTGTAATTTGGTTAGCTATCTTAAATATTAAGCGTTTTAAAAACTAAATTCGCGTTGCTGGGTACGGCGAAGGAGGATT